GGGAGAGAAGTTAGCAGGTTTTTGGCGCCATCTGCGGTATGCTCGGAGCCACGGCCTCTCGACCGTGGCTCCAGAGCTGTCCCTCGGCTAACCATCACCGCTGAAGCAGGATGAAGCTCGAGTGAGGCCACACAGAGGCTGGCCACTCCCGCCCGGGTCGAGAGGAGATTTCTCTCCCTCGGCCGCAGGTCTTCCGGAGGGGCGCGGCTCGGGCGGCCTCACCACGATTTGGTTAACTCCACTGGCCGTGACGCTTCTTTCCTCGGCTCGCACAAACCCTTACGCTAAAGGATTTGTGGTCCTGGCACGAGTACTAGCAGCAAGCGCCACGTGTCGGAAACCGAAACCAGCGGGATGTCAGGGTAAGGATAAGGATGAGGGTCAACGCTATGGCAGGGATATGGTATGAATGAGGGTGAGGGGTGAGGGGTGAGGTGGTGTCACAAGCGTCAGGAGACGAGGTGAAGGTATTTAAAAACGGGGATAAGAGAGGGCAGTACCTGGGGGAGATTACTTTATTTGTGAGATTAAAAAGGTACAGGACAACAAAACCAAACAACAACAAAAACTGAACAGACAGAAAAAGAGAACACAAAACTGAACACTGAAAAATGAACAAAACGAGTGGATAGGGGAAGGGGAAAATTTGAAAGGAATGAGTAGAAGGTGGCTTCAAAGTGATGCTGCAAAACCCGAAGACTGCATTTCCTGTCCCATGCCAAAGAAAGAGATCACGGCCTAAACCTGATCTCCTGCCGGAACGAAGGATGGAGGGTGAGTCCATCCAGCCAGTGGTGAGTCAAGCACGGAGTTTGTTGGTCTGTCTACAGGCCAACTCACCCCACAGGATGTTAAGGAGGAAGCGAGAGGCTTCCTCGCGGAGTTCAGACGTGTAATAGATCGGTCACGACCCACTACAGGGAACCGTCTGAGTGCTTTATTCCATCAGAACAAGCTGGAGTTGTGTTTGTTGTTAGTGAGAGTAAAATGTTTGTGTGTGAAGGAGAGAGTTTTTGTTTTGTTTAGATGCAGCTCGTGCGTGGGATTGCGCGTCTAGATCGACCTAGCCAACACGGGGTCCTCCACCGGGGTGGAAGAACCCGCGTCGGCTCGGTCGGTCGTCAGTTAGCCACTCAAGGTACACCCATTCTACCTGGGTGTACCTTGCGTGGTGTTACCTGAGCCCTGTAGCGGCTCCGCGATCGATGCGCGATCGACGGCTCCTCGAGGTCAGGCAGGGAGTCCTGTGAACCGACGCGGAAGTCCTGGGAATCGGCGGACCAGTTCCCGATGCTTCCGCGCTGTCCCAGGGGTCCCCTGGCAGGGAGCATGGCTCCAGCCGAGAGCCCAAGCCCGGCCTCGAGAACGCTCTCGACATCGATGTCGGAGTCGCTACTATCGTCGTCGAGAATGGTGTCATCCAATCTGCGACGACGAGCTTCAGGGGCAGGAGGATCCTTCTTGTCTTTTTTTGTGTGCATGGATGGTGGTGTGGTTTGTTTGCGTTTGTGATCAGTGGTTTTTGTAGTTTGGCGTGCTTGTGCAGTTTCTTTTTGTCTTCGTTGTGGCTGAGGTTGCAAAACGAGGTGTCGATGTTGTGAGGAAGAATGAGGCTCTGGGTGAGTGTCTGTCACCTCATTTCCTGTGGTTTCTGTGTTTGTTGTGGTGTACTCAGGGATGTAAAGGTTTTCGTCTTCAAAGATTTCCTCGGGGACAATAATGCTGGGGAAGCCGTTTCTCTGTAGCATGATAGGGACAATGTTTGCGAATCTTTTTGCGTTGTACTTGGCAGCAATGAGGCTTACGTGTAAGATGGCTTGGATTTTTGGGTTTGTGTTCGGTGTGAGAGTGCTTGTTGGGGGTTGTGTGGGCAGAATTGTCCGAGGGGAAGTCGTGGGTCGTCTGGGTGTACTGGTCTGAGCAGGTCGTGTGGCAGCTGTTGTTGCGTAGGAAGGTACAGTGTTTGTGTCTTGGCGGAGCTCAGCTCGTTTTGCCTTGAGTATTTCCTTCCGTTTAGGGCAGGATCCACTAACTGCGACATGCGATCCCTCGCAGTTGCAGCATTTGATGCTTTCAGTGCACCTGGCGAAGAAATGACCGTCGCCGGCGCACCGAGAGCATCTCTGGGGGTGTGTGCATTGGTGTTTTTTGTGGTGGAAGCGGTAGCAGTTTAGGCATTGGTCGATGTGAATAAAGCATTCGGGTTCCAGGTTGTAGGTGGGGACCGATGTATTGAACATCATGAGTCCCCGAGAGAGAAGTTTATGGGCTTCCTCGGGGGATGAGACGCGAATCTTGACGATTCGCGACTCGGGTGGCTTATAGACGTCGAGAACAGTGACACCGTTCTTGACGGAAACCTCCTGGCAGATGGACTCGCACGATCGTGGGGGGATCGTCTTGTCGATCTTTTTGGCCACGATCGTACATTTAGCCTTCATCTCGGGGGAGGGAACAGGTGAGAAGCCGTGGTCTTTTAACTTTCTTTGGCCGTCGGCCGAAAGAAATGGGGTCAAGTGTTCGGGTTTGGCAACTGTCACTTTGAAGCCATTATGGACCTTAAAGAGGTGTGTGACTGCCACCTCAGTGATAATGAAGATATTCTGGAGAGCCTCCTCGCAAGAGATAGGCTCCCCAGAATACGCTAATTTGATCACGTGACCCATAGGGTTACGCCATAGCGAGGGTGATGGATGATGGGTAGAGGGGAGGCTAGCAGAGCTAATTTAACTGGACGATGAAAGGTCGGAAATGGTATCAAAAACGGTGAAGCACACAGGGTAGCTAACAGTCTCTATTTGGGAAGGCCGGTCGGGGTCGGAACCCTGCCGAACGGGCGTGAGCCCTTATGTGTTCGGCCGAACACTTCGCAGCGAAACCGTCAGCTGCCACTGTGCGTCGTGCTTTTAATTACTCGCACATCAAGGCTGTAATTAAAGGCACTAGCCCAAAGCAGGTATTGCGTAACTGCACCCAAAGCAGTTACACCAAGAGCCAATCGTCTTGTTCGTCGTGGGGGTGTCAAATCTCTTTAAATCATCCACGATGACAAACACGAAAAACCTTGGACCTCAAGATCCAGGTAAGCCCTTGGGAAATCAACACTCTTCGCTCTTATTTAAGGGAAATACAGCAGGGGCCGCATTTACTAAACTCTCTCGTAAACGCTGTCTCTCGTAACAGTTACGAGAACTATCAACGATTTCTCAACTAGCGACTTTACGACCTATTTTCAAACGCCAGACAACGAGAGCGCAGGGGTCTCGTAACCGTAACGACCGAATTTTCTATCGCTAGGTGTCGTTGGGCTTTATTTCCTAAAAGAACGGCTCGATCGACCAATCAGCGTTAGCTCGGGAAAAAATCGACCAATCACAGAACGTTATCCGCTGAACTGAGGCAACACTAATGAGTCTTACTTAAAACAGTTTCTATATCACCACCTGGTGAATCATCATCACCTTTTATTGATCATTACCACCTTTATAAATATTCTTATAAATTCTGATACCTAAAAAAATAAATAAATAAATAAATAGATAAATAGATAAATAGATAGATAAATAGATAAATAGATAAATAGATAAATAAATAGATAAATAAATAAATAAATAAATAAATAAATAAATATAGCTAAGGCTATACCCATCTCTCTCTCTCTCTCTCCCCCTCTATCTTTTCCCCTCTCTCTCTCTCTATCTTTTCCTCTCTCTCTCTCTCTCTCTCTATCTTTTCCTCTCTCTCTCTCTCTCTCTCTCTCTCTCTCTCTCTCTCTCTCTCTCTCTCTCTCTCTATATATATATATATATATATATATATATATATATATATATATATATATATATGTGTGTGTGTGTGTGTGTGTGTGTGTGTAGGTCTATATATATATACACATGCCAAAAGATATGCAGTACATGTATATATCTAGTCATATATATATATATATACATATACATATACATGTATATATTTTTGTATATACAGAATTGTATGTATATATGCATATATGAATATATATATATATATATATATATTATATATATATATATATATATATATATATATATATATATATAGACATATATGTAGAGGGAAAGAGATCAGATATATATATATTCATATCTGTCTCAAAAAAGATATTATGATAGAAATTTGATACAATCCAGTAAAACATTCATCTTAATCATTATTCATAAAGAAATGGATCCAATGCTAAATGTAATTTTACATTAGGCTATTAAGAGGTGTGTTTGTATATTGGTAACATTTGTTATTAAATATTTATTATGTTTTGTTGCTATAGAGGAAATAGTCATAATGATGGAATTATGCATTTTCATTCAGATTTCGTACTTGAAGATGTGTTAGAGATCCTTAAATTCATGATAAATTAAACTTGCTGAGTAGTTTACATCAAGTGTTTCCGCACCTCTATGCACTGGCAAAGGCCAATCCTTATTTACATTAGTCATATTGTCTTTTTCCGTTATTATGCACCCTCAATGGTTGCTCTTGCACATCATTGATTTCCACTTGGCAAAGTGACATTTACACACTCCTGAAGGTATTTATGAAGCTGATATGAGCTGAGGAGGGTCGCTACGATAAGCGTCACGAGAGGTTTCGGGCTCCCGTAAATGTTTCTCGTATGGAGATGTGTTTACGACCTTGGGAGTGTTTTGAAAATACGCTCGTTGCGAGAAACGAGAGTAACTTGTTTTACGATATAAACAGACCATTTACGATAACGTAAGACATTAGTAAATCTGGCCCCAGGACGGTTAAGGTCTCCAGCACGCCTCAACTTAAGGTTCTTTTGAGAATCTGGCCCCAGGTCTACAAACTGAGTCCTTGGTGACTTGAGGAGCCAATTATTTCTAAACAAGATCCATAAACAAAAAAATGCATGTATTTTGCAACATAATCTTCCATTCTCAAGTATACCAATTAAAAACCAAAAATTAAATGAGAAAAATAAGTAAAGGTAAATGAAAACAACATTTCTATTACAAAAGGATTATCAAGTATTTAATTTAACAATACAAGATAAATCAAAAAAACCCTAAACCTTATTAAATGCACTATATATACATACAAAAAGATTTTTTTCTTGGCTAATTTACTTAACCCCTTTGATCCAGGTGACGTATGAAAAAATTTTGGTTGAGGGCCAGGTCACTCGAACTTGCCGTCATGAACGAAGGCAAGAGTGACAGAAAAGACTTGCCATGAGTGCACAAACCTCATGGAGTGTGATTTAACTCGCTTGGTGTTTAGAAGGGGGCTTTTGCATTATTTCTGTTGATAAGTAAGTAAGAAATTTGACTGGAAGAGTGCTGGCACCAGGAAGGATGCCATTTCTATGCTTAGCATCATATTCCTGGCTGTCGTGACTGGCAGTGCAAGTTGTATTACAGAAAGTTGATAATAACGAAAAAATAAAATATTTGACACAAAGAACAAAATGTTACCTATTTATTTTTTCTTGCACCAAGTTATTTACTACATAGAGACATGATGTGGAGTCTGTGCAAAGAAAATAATTTTTTACCATATGAATAAAGCAGATCGAAAGACAAACATGGACATTGGGAAATGGCAGAAAAGCTAAAAAGGTTTATGCAAAATAACTGTACAAAGAGGAGGCATTGAGTCTTGTCACTGCACAAGTGTTCGCATGTGCCCGGACTAGGTGCCATATGCCAGACTAAATGGCTACTTACGAAACCTACTGCTCGTATTTTTGGCCATGTGATTGCTGCGACACAACTGGATCCAAAGGGTTAATTCTTATTTAATTATTATAAATACAATTTCCTTGAGTTTGAGACTCAGGACAACAGACAAAAAATGCAACGAGTATAACTCCTGTAAAATAAAATAATGGCTTTACTATACATCAAATAACTAAAAAAATAACGGATTTGTATGAGAGAAAAAGAAAAAAATCACACTCGTAAAAATGCTAGAACTAATATGAGTACACAAAATACTTAAAAAGTACTGTCTGAAATATGAAATATTTATTATATAATTCAAGAGAGCAATTTACTTGAGTGAAATAATATAAAGTGCTGCATTCATTTCGGTCCCCTTTACTGCCTCATTCCTTATTCTCCTTCAGATTGTGTAGCAAGAGGAGATTCCACATATACATGGCGAACATGAAGAGCCACTTTGGACAGTAATTTTCCACAGTATGTTTCTGCAATGAGAGTAAGGTTGCATAATCAAATGGGGTTACTTAATAAACTAAACAGGAAAACAGACGGTGACAAGAAAATGGTAAAGACAAAGACATGGAGAAAAAAGGGGGAAGGAAAAGGAAAAGGAAAAGAAAACAGGAGTAATGTTGCTTCCCTAGATTTTGAAAACATCACTCTCTCCAATTTGGAAACATCCCCTTTTAACCCTATGATGATGGGGTCTGACTAGACTTTGTGGCTAAGCCTAAGCTGTATAGTTATTATTGTTATTGTCATGACGGCAATAGCTGTACCCATCACTGAAGGGTTACTAACCAGAAATCAAGAGACAACATATAAGGTATCTTAGCACTAAGGCTTGGTCTACCTACAGAAATTTTAATCACTGATGTTACCTAATTGAGTTTTTTTCTTCATGACAGTCATACCATAAATTATTGTAAAAATTGCTTAGGGATTAGATATCTTGCAGTGTTCAAGATCTATGTATATTCAAAGAGTGAACAAAACTAAACAAATATCAAATTAATTGAGTGAACACTGCTTGTGCACAACTAGAAGGAAGCTTTTACCCAAAATGTGCACTTCTACTTTATATTCACCATTTCCTTTAATAAAAGTGAAAGAATTTGGACAAAATTTTGCTGACCTATGTATAGAATATTATGTAGAGAAAGTTTTATACAATACTGTACATACTCCAAGCAAAACATCAAACAATAATCATACTAGTATAGTAATGCCGATAAGTTATAATAATTACAATAAAAATAATAGTAATAATTTCTAAACATCCATAATGGAACTTACTGCAATTCCATGAATCCAGTACCCACTTGTACGACAAGTATACCCAATGGTTGCAATGGCATGAGACACAAATGTTGCAGCTGTTGGGACTGCTGGATCTTTTGGATGAAGAAAAATTCAATTAATATTCTTATTCACACAGTATATTCAGCTGAGTGTATCATTGGGGGGGGGGGGGATGCTAGGTATGTGTTTGGATACCTTATATAATATGCAAATTTCCTCCTCACTTCATTTGATGGGTTAGATATAGTGAATATGAACTATGACGTGAATCATTAATAAATAATCATATTAAAAGACCCTTAAAATGAGTCTTAAAAATCCTATTGCAGCCAAGAGGGTATGTATACGTTATGTCTCCTGTGCTTTTGTTTGTTAACTGTGATTACAAATAGATGGCTTCCGCAACTGCTTGGTCAACTAAGAGTCCACTGCTGATCTCAACTGTTTAGTCTTTTCCTTCAATTTCTGGAAAAAGTCTAGTATTTGACTGCTTGGTAACTAGGGACTGTGGGGCCATCTGTGTGTTAACATTACTGACAAAACAAAACTATTGTGGATTGTGCATGTGTATGGGTCGGTTAGGTAAGCTTAGATCAAGTTTGACGATTTTTACATACAATGCTAAGCTTATGCATGAAAAAGTTATTAAATAAATCAAACATTTACATGCCACACCCTGATTCAAATCAAACTTAAAAGTATTATTACTAACTCTGCTTATGAACAAGATCCGAAAAGCTGGTCATGTTGGTTGACACATAAGAAGGGTTAACAGTCTGAACTGTGATTCCTGAGCTGCGATACTCCCATTCCAGTGCCTGGGAGAAGTCATCAATAAAAGCCTGAAAGGGATAGGGTAATCTTATTTCTGTTCACCTCTTGTACACATCATGGGAGGTGTTGGAAAATGTTGAGGCAAAACTACATAACCTTGCATGAATCATTGTTCATTATTAGAATGTTTAACTCCTTTGCTATATGAACTGTGAATATATCAAATGTTCTAAAAATAAATATATTAACAACCATACAGGTATTTCTGCAGTATCTTCTTTAATGTATATGGGCATTCAAACTTTAATAAACTATAAACAGCAAATGCACTCAACATTTGACAGTCATACTATTATTTTTTCCCATTTTGATTGACATACCTTTGTTGCACCATAGATTCCCATAAGGGGTAGTGGATGTGTGCCTGCAATTGAAGCAAGGTTGATGATGGCGCCTCTGTGTCGGGACACCATTCCAGGTAGAACTAGTTTTGTCATAGCTAGTACTGCCGCAACATTGACGTTAACATGACTCCAGATGTCGAACTCTGATGCTTCTCCAAATTTCATTGGACGGGGAAGCATTACTCCCACATTATTCACTGGAAAAATAGTACATGCTTTGGTTTCAAACATTTTCATATTGATGATAAATATCAAGAAGACACCCAAGCTTCTATCACTGACCTTGCAATTTTGGAATTGTGCTCATTGGCACATATGCTAAGATACCTCTAATGTATACATATTGTGGCACTCAATTGGCACCTAATAAACCTCTCCAAGCTCTATCTTGATATAAATGTGGTGGAATCTTATTAGTTTTTACAAGACTATTGGAGACTATCTATTTGCCATCCAACAAGTTTCAAATATATTTGATTGGAATGTAGTCATGGTAAGTCTGTGAAATAAATTCACTTTGAAAACCACTATGAGCTTCTGCTAAGATCTATAAAACTGATTTTCAGGCCTTGGATTCAAATGTTATTATAATTTGTAATACTGTAATCTAATCTTAATTAGATGTACATAATAATTTCTGATGAATTCATAATTTCTCACAAAAGATATACGACATTGTAGTTTTAGAAAATCAGAACAGATGCTTAGAATTCAGGCAAATGGTTGATGATTAATAGTTAAAACAAAATGTGCTAAACATCAGACAACATGAGCACTATGGAAAAGTATTGTAGTAAAAAGGGTAAAAAAGTGTTAATGATTAGAACAAATGTATTACACCTAGAGATCAAAAGCTGTATAGCCCTGTAAGAGAATATGGTTGTGAAGGGAAAGAGGGGGAGCAATTAGGGTAAGGCAGTAGTTAGTAAAAGGGGGAAGGGGGGTAAGGGCTTCTTCTAACTTTTGCTTACCAAACATAAATCAGTCCTAAAAAAAATATACAAAGTATAAACTACATAAAATATATGCGTGCATGCACATATGAATAACACTCATTCCTCTTCTAATTAAAATGCTCGTTCACAGAAATGGGATTTACTGTTAATTACCTAGGACACCAATTTCCTTGTCTTTAAGATGCTTTGAAATATCCTCGTAGATAGATTGACCATTTGAAAAGTCAGCCCGAACAATTTCTGTCTTCACACCAAATTCCTCACCTGTGAAAAATAATCAAATCAGAGAAGATATGACATCCTATATTAACCTATCTTTTCATTAAGAATCTAACTGCAGATACAGATTTTATAAGAATAGCTGAAATGACATTAAAACAATAATAGTTACAAATATTATCAAACATCCTATTAGTTTAACAAAACAAATATTAATAAACAAAATCTTTAAACACAATAAAAATCATGCAACAACTTGGAGAAATCAAACAATGAAAAAATAAGGAGAAAAATCTTACTTATTTCGGCAGCAACTTTTTCAAGCTTTGACTGGGTGCGAGAAATGAGGACAATATTCATCTTGGTTTTGGCGAGCTCTTTGGCGTACTCCTTGCCGATCCCATCAGTGCAGCCCGTGACCACTACAACAGAAATTTTCCTGAATTCCTTATAGACCTTAAAAAAATTCTTGGCAAAGGTAAAGATCATTAAGGAAGATGGAGACTGAACAGCAGTCAGAAAAAAAATAGGGAAATGATGAATCAGGGTAAAAAGTAATTTGATTTTCAATAAAGATAAAAGATAATGAAAAAGAAAGAGAAACAGGAAATGGAGAATCATTTTT